TTTTTTTTTTTTTTTTTTTTTTTTTTTTTTTTTTTTTTTTTTTTTGGTATCACCAGTCCCTAGCACAGTGCCTGGCACATAATTGGAGCTTAATACATATTTATTGACTGGCTGACTGAAATGAGGATATTACCTTCTCTAAATTGCTGATAGGGTGATGTTGTCAGAAGCAAGTGAAACAAGAGTTGTGTCAGCGCTTGAGAAATGTATAAGTACATTTTTAATGAGCTATTAATTTTAAGAACTATCTCCCTCTTCTGCAACCAATGGAACCTCCTCAATGAACAGATAGCCCCCTCCTTAGTGGAAGTGTTGAGCGCTCATCACTAAAGAAGTTGCTAAGCATTCATGTGGGTTTAAAAACTATTGGCAGCCCTCATCTCACAGTAAATAGGGGTAGTTACCAAGCATTTTCGAGAAATCAGTGCCCATGGTGATGAGAACTCAGTGCGTTAGCCCCACATGGAATTGTAAAAGAAACGGCTCTAGGAAAGAAGGATATAGATAGACACACACATTGTGGGAATATGTAAATTGGGATGGCATAAATAAGTGACATACTACTGTAATATGCTGCTGGGAACACAATTCATATTTATATGATGCTATATGGTTGCTTGCCATGACTCTGGGAAGATTAGACCTGCGTTCCCTAGTTCCCAAGGGAGGAAACTGGCCCAGAGCACAAGCCCTTAGATCTAGAGAGAGGTAATTTCCAGCCATCCCTGGGAGGGCTAGGCCTTGCTCCTGGCAGGGAAGCATGCATAGGTTTCCAGTGAGGTTTTGTTTCTTTTGCCTTCATTTAGTCTACCCCTCCCTGGAGTCAGATGAAGATAATCCTATATTCAAGTCTCGATCGAAAAAGAGAAAAAGCTCAGATGATGCTCCATACAGCCCGACAGGTAACCTTGGACATTTGGCCTCCTGAGTCATTAGAAATGGGATGCTTGGTGTATTTTTTCTTCTTTCCCTTCACTCCATCTTCCTTCCTGCCTCTCCACTTTCCCAGAGTTCATTTGGAACAGCTTTACCCAACTGGCCTTTCTGACAGGGATTGGGATGGAAATTCACCCTTAACCAGGGCTCTTAGCCTCGGCTTTGGTCTGTGGGGTGGCTGCATGGGTTTTCACGTCTGATCTTTCTTGACAAGTGTTGAGCTAAGAATAGGGGACTCAGGCGGGGGCAAGGGCAGATATCTGTTCAGCTAGAACTGATTGCAACGGAGATGGGGGAATGGGCTTCTCCTTTTTGGATAGCAGAGGGAGACCACTGCATGAGGCATGAACAAGGATTTGAAGGCCAGGAGCTCCCCTATCAATTAGTTTTATGGCTACAGAGCTGCAAGCATGTCAGAGCTCTTCTCTGTGAAAGCATTTGGGCATGGGGATGCCAAAGCACAGAGGGGATGGGGGATTTCCTGCTCTGTTCTCAGCAGGGTGGGCTCAACCTGCTTGGGATCCAGTGAATAGGTGGGACATTGACAAATTATTTTCTCTTTAGCAAGGGTTGGGCCTTCAGTGCCTCGGCAAGATAGACCGGTTCGAGAAGGGACGAGGGTGGCTTCCATTGAGACTGGGTTGGCAGCGGCTGCAGCCAAACTCTCCCAACAGGTGAGGTATCTGAGTCACTGTCCTGACCAGGGCCATCTTGAGATTGTGTGTGTGTGTGTGTGTGTGGGGGGGGGGGGGGGTTTATGTGGGTGGTGGGAATGATAGGACTTGACATTCATGAAGGGTTTGGCAATTCCTCCTCTCCCTCCTCCCATGACTACAGTGTAGATGTGCTGCCAGAGGTGGCTAAAGCCCATGGACTATTCAGTGTAGACCCTGAGGGTGCTTGGCTTCACCATGAATTTCCATTTCATCATTCTGTTAGGAAGTAGAAAGTAAGGGACTTTCTGAAACAAGGACGTGTTAGGCAAAATGTCAGCATGTTTGGGGGATTGTTTACTACCTTGTGTGAAGGATGGAGCAACTCTTCAGGACCCCAGCTGCACACATATCATCTCTCATAAGGAAGCACTCAGATATCATTACTTACGTCATTTTGAATGGCCACTGGTCATGTTGGTTTACATTTTGAGAGATTAAACTTGGGCAAGGAGCTTGCCTTCTGGCTCCCTCAGTCACTGCATGAACTCAGTTGGCATCTTGTTACTGTCATTTCCTGATGGATCTTGAGATTCACAAAATGACCAGAAACCCAACTCTTCACAGCCATACTTTTCCACCAAGGTTTGATCCATCCTTTTGCACCCCTAGACTTGCAATGAGTTTCTGTTAGTCACCTCAATGAGAAAAGAGACAGGACAGAAGAAGGGAGCTATTGATCTCCAACAGTGAATACTATCTAAGGTCTCATCTTATGACTACTGGTCTTCCCAGAGTCATTGGTCTTCTTGACCTGAGATGAAGTGCAACCGCTGCAAGCTGGAGAGCCTGGATTTTAGGAAG